AAAATGGAAACAAAGCTTTGCAGATAAGGAGGGGAAGAGGGGTTGAAGAGAGGAGAGGGGAATGAGGAAAAAAGAGGAAGTAAGATGTATCATGTACAGGTACAAATCCCCTACAATAAATATGATCAGTAAATGTATCTAAATTGTAGCAGTAAACTTAATTAAAAATAAAATTTAAAAGTTCTTTAGAGGTCATTTAATGCAACCTTTTCCTAAGGATTTTTTTTTTTATCTCTCACTTCCCATTTTGGTACAACCATATTAACCATAGTTGTTTTAAAATGATAATATAAAGAGATGATATGTGTAAACTGAATTTTTACTAATGAGTTGGTTCTCCTTCATTTTTTTACAGCCAGAGAAATAATAAATATGAGACTCTTTGTAAAAATAGATTAGGCAATGACTTATATGTTGAACGGATGATGCAGACTTTCAATGGAGCACCGAAAAATAAAGATGTGCAGTGTGATAAAATTATAATGGAAGACCAAGGTAATTTGTTGCATTTTCCTTGCTAAACTTTCATGTTTTAGTATCTGTCCTGCTGAGTCTGTCAGTCAACAAATAAATGTTGCAATATACAGAGCAGAAATAGAAATAACTTGACCAAATCAGAATAGTAGTTGAGTTCTGTGATCTACAGCTTGGAGAATTTGACATCTAAGTTAATAAGGAATAAAGGTGTAGATTTCAGTAATATGAATCTTGATTCTTATGTTCACTGTATCACAGATCTCCATATTCTTTGTTCATGAAAAATTTTTAGGAACTGGTTATGTCACAAAGACTGTGTATCACAAATAACATTTCAGATGAGCCAGACACAATTCCAGGTCCTTCACATAGATTACCTAATTTAACAACAACCCTGCAAGGTATGTAATATTGTTATTCCCCATTGTGTAGATTAGGAAACAGGCAGAGAGAAGGTGGCTAACTTGCTCCTGCTCTGGAAATTACCGTACTTATGACCTCTCAATGTTTCCAAGACCGTATCCTTGGGAATACTTAATAAGCAAAAATCTACCATCTGTGACCAAAGCAGTGATAGGAAAGAAGTTATGTCTACCCCTGTCTTTATCCCTCAATAAAACTATAAGCAAGTTAAAAAAAAATTAAAACAGATAAATTTCTAGCAGAAAAGTTTAATCATTGTTTTCCATAAAAGAATATAAGGATATCTTATTGGTGGGCACATTTATTCCCTGTTCCTAGTATTATCCTTTATGTGGAGAATAGGAATGAGGATATTCAGCTTCACCTCTTCATTCTCTCACTCATTCCTACCTAGGATTTGAGTTGAGGCTTATCCGATGGATGAGCTTGGGAGTGGAAATGTGGGCATGCATGGTTATTCTTCCTCTTTCCCTTTGCTGGTAGCAGGCTGCGTCAGGAACTAAAAATTCGAAATGACTTCTCTACACAGAAATTTCAAAGGGGTAGGAATCAGCACAGAGGAGGCTGTGATTCCCAAGTTTATACCTTGTAAGTTTAACTCAGATTCATGATTAAGGAGTTCATGTAAACTACAGAAGTCAATCTAAACTTTCTTGGTAATACAAGTAAATATTGATGATCTGTATTTTATTTCTTGTTAGCATCTTAATTGGCAAAAACTTTGCTAAGTGTAGAAAAATGAATACTTGGGTAGTATCCAGTAACATTCTTTAGCCCTTTAATTCATATTAGGACTTTTAAAAAAGAACATGAATACAATAATTAGTAAAGGTTTTAAATATTTTCAGTGGATCACTATGTGTGATTTTATATTAATAGAATTAAAAATAATGAAAAGAATAATTTTTTATGGAACTCAAAATTACCAAAACTGCTCAAGAATTGATAGAACTATACATGATAGTTTAAAAAATGGGATATTTTTCCAAAGAACTGCCCCTGATATGGCCCACATGAAGCCCAGATCACTGCAGAGCTTTATTCTGTAAAAGTGAGAGTAATTTATAATACCTATCTATAATACCTATATGTATTGTTTAGGGTTCTCCAGAGAAACAGAACCAATGAACAAGAATATATATACTTTTTTGAGAGAGAGAAAAAGAAATATAGATACAGAGATAAGTAGGTATACAGTCATGTGTCTCTAATAATATTTTAGTCAACAATGGACTGCATACCCAATTATAGTCCTGTGCAATTAAATTGCCTTGTGACATTGTAGTTAGCTTGTGCAACAGCAAAATCACCTAAAAATGCACCTTTGCAAACATGTCCCTATGGTTAAGTGACACATGACAACAAAAAGGAAGTGTCTTATATGCTATTGACTTACATGATCATCAATACAATTCAACACTCATTTTTGATAAAATGGTCTGTAAAGAAATAGTGTGATTTTTCTTGATAATATATCTGAAATAAAGGGAAACCTTTTGCTTAAGTATGAACTACTAAAGATATCCCCATTAAATACTGGAAATAGAAAATGGCACCAGCTATGGTAATTATTCAACATTGTTTTTACCATTTCAACCATTACAGTAAGACATGGATAGATCAAGTTATCATTAGTTATAGTCAATATTAATCTATTTATATGCTGTAGTAATTAGCTTTCTGCCATTGTGACAAAATACTGAAAATAATCAATGGATATGGAGAAAATATTTAACTTGGCTAATGGTTCTAGAAGCTTCAGTCCATGGTTGATTGACTCTACCACTTTGGGCTTGTGGTAGCAGCATGTATCATGACTGGATCATGTGGTACAGGAGTTCTGTTCACCCATGGCAGCTGGGAAGCAGAGGTAGTGAGGATCCCAATGTCCTCTCCAGGACACCCTCACAATGACCTCATTTCCCCCAGTAGGCTCCACTTCCTGAAGTTCCACCACGTCCCAGTGGTGCCACAACCAGGGGCCTATACCTTTAAAACATGGGCCTTTGGAGAATGTTCTAGCCTGTAGCAGATACTCAAGGACATTGTTTTAGTTACTTTTCTCATTGCTGAGACAAAATACCCAGCAATATGTCCTTCCACAGAAATATCCAAAAAGCCTTAGCAAATGCTGTCAGAATGAACTTTGTCAGAGCTCTGGAAAGTTATCAAAGGTCTACAGCAGCTAAGGAAGAGCTGAAGCAAGAGAAAAGAGACAGAATTGCTTGTGTTTTTTTCCCTGTCCTATTCCTAACATGGTGGTAGTTTTAAAGAATGTAAGACAACTTCCTTGTGTGAGACCCATGTGATCTTTACTTCTAGAAGGAGCAGAACACATATTGCTCTCAAGGAATTGGGTTTATCTCTTATCCTGTCTTGGGGAATACCTGAAGGACTGACATAAAACACTTGTCTTTAAAAAAAAAAAACCAAGCTCAGGACTCTTTCAAGCAGTAAAAAGCTGCATAGAAGGTGCTGCTCACAACCATCCTAAGGAAAATGAATACAAATCAGCATTGAAAGTATTAGCTACCTGAGCTCCCTCATTTTATGTTACAAATATAATGTTTGTAGCAATCAAGTAGCTGCATTTGTTAGGCCCAGATTCTGTTTTGATGTTTAAAGACAAGAACTCATTGTTAAAATACTGCCCCTTAACTGAAAGTCTAGCAAGCTTAACATGTAGGAGGAATACATTGCTCTATGACCACTGATAAAAGAATTGCTGTAAGAATCATATAAACCAGTGACAGGGACTGCAAACTTCAGAAGTTATTTGAAGACAAATAACATTGTCAACTCAATTTTTATTGAATCAGTTTAACTAACTCAAACAGAAATTTAAAGAACGGGGCAATACTTACATTACTATACAAATTTCTTGGGAACAGAGCCCATCATTTTTCCCAAAAGTATAGTTTTTCACACAAATAGGTATATAGGGAGTTTTGCTGTCTAAAAAGGAATTACATGATTGTACGTGAATAGATCTGTACACTTCAGGTTGTTATATGTTGACCGTAGGTGGGAACATAAAAGTTGTATTGTCAAGATCTAAAGCAGCCCCACAGTGGCAGACAAATGACATCATGTGGCACTGGCTTGAGCCAGAGAAGGAACTGCAGGGTCAGAAAGAACGCCACTAACGGACTAGGGTGTTTGCAGATGCCAGCAGTGTGTCGTAGGGGGATCTCCTGATGTATCTTCACAAATCATTTCTTTGCCACTTTACCCACGTCCTGCCTTGGTTGTAAAAACAACAGTGTGTTTTAAATAGAGCTAGTCTTAGCTGTGTAAACCTAAAATATTAGGATTTGATTTAAAATAATTTTCAACTTTGTGTCTCTTCAGGCATCATGGCCACTACCTGGGATCTGTATGATTCTTACAATGCTCTAGAAGTCTCCTCCTTAGCAGTAAAGCGATCTGCAATGGAATCAAGTAGCAAAGCGAGTTTCCTTCCCAAGGAGCGGGACCAAAGACTGCCAGGGAGTGCCACAGACAAAAGTAAGATTTCATGACTGTGGGCTTTTTGAATGATGTTTTCATGTGACGTTTTAAGTTCTTTTTTGGCAGTGGCAAAATTTTCTTTCTCAGAGAACATGGAAAGCACAACTTTTACTCAGAAATAGTACTGTTTCTCTTTTACTGAGTCTCAACCTCTCAACCAGAAGTTTTATTCCTGCTTGGACATCTGTCTTTTGTTTCATGCTTTATACATATTGAATTTTTCATGTAGGAAAAACCATGCAATATTTAAGCTTGTGTGTCTGAGTTACTTCACTTAATATTATGGTCTCAAGGAGCATCTATTTGTCTACAGATGACTCAAGTTTATCTTTTTTATGGCAGAGTAGTACTTCACTGTGTATAAATACCACATTTAAAAAATCCATTCATCTGTTAATGGATTTAACTATCCAAGATTTAACTATCTTGGATTTAACTATCCAAGATTTAACTATCATGAATTGTGCTGCTATCAACATGGGTATGCAAACATCACTGTGGTATGATGTCTTTAAACTCTTTTAGGAAGATATTTAGAAGGGGAATAACCGGGTGGGTCAAGTGGAAGTTTTACTTTCAGTTTTTTGAGGAATCTCCACACTGATTTCCATAGTGGTTGTATCAGTTTACACTCCCACCAACAGTAGAGAAGGGTTCATTTCTCCCTACAGCCTCACCAGCATTTGTAATTGGTTGATTTCTAGATGGTAACCATATGTTCTGGAGCGAGATGGAATCACAGTGCTATTTTAATTTGCATTTGTCAAATGGGCAGTGATGCTGAACATTTTTTAAATGTATTTTTTGGCCATTTGTATTTCTTCATCTGAGAAGTGTCTCTTTCTTTCTGATGCCCATTTTTAAAATGGGTCTTTAGATTTGAGGGGTCTAATTTTCTTTTAGTTCTTTATATATGCTAGATATTAGTCCTTTGAGGAAAAATTGCAAAAATTTTTTCCCATTCTGTAGGTTTTCTCTTTATTCTGTTAGTGGTTTCCTTTGCTGTGCATCTCCTAACCCTTTGAAAATAGAGGGAAGACAGTGGGGAACTTCTAAGAAGCTGGAAAAGTCAAGGAAACAAAGGATTCTGTAGGGCCTCTGCCACAGGAGCAAAGGCCTGAGAACCGCTTGGTTTTCAGCTTGGTGATGCCGTGTCAGACTGCTAAGCTGCAAATTGTAATATCATAAATTCACATTGTTTTAAGCCACAGTAGTCTGTTAACAGCAGCAACAGAAAACTCATAAGACAGCACCGTATTCCTACAAGGCACAGATCAGAACTTTAGGAAAGCCGTAGAGCAATCTGGTCTCAGTGTGACTCAGAAAGTGTGATGGTAGTGCTGGGCTTTGCATGCGTCCTTCGAAGTCCTTCCAGTGGAAACTTAATCCTGAAATTCACATGTTGATCTTATTTGTGGGTGGGGCACATGGGATCATTAGACTTAGACGAGGTCACAAGAGTTGGGACCCCAGGATGGCACCCGTGGCTTTATAAGAAACACAAGAGAGACCGAGCCTGTGTGCTCCCTGACCTTGGTCATACAGTGTCCCTGTCACATAAAGATACAGGATGAGGCCCTCACCAGCTGCACCGTCAACCCTGGGCTTCCCAGACTTCAGAACTGTGAGAAAGAAACTTCTTTTCTTCATAAATCACTCATTCTGTGATGTTCTGGTGCAGCAATAGAAAATGGACTAAGACAGATACAGACTATTTAATGACATTATGACTGCTCATCTTTGGAAAAACAGTATGTTTTTTGGTGGTTAAGAATGTCAAAACTGTTTGTCCTGCATTTGCTTTGTACATAAAAGATTGTAGTGAGTGTCTGTTGAAGCTGTTAGAAACTAGAAGCAAACACATAGGGCTGGGGACGCAGCTCCAGGTGAAGACCCCGGGTTGAATCCCAAGTGCTGAAAACAAGACCACGAACCTGGTGATATTATTGGATATTTCATCTTCATATCATGTTTGTCTTTAACAGCTAGTGAAACGAGTTCTCTAATGGATTTAGAAAATGTAATTCTGGCTAAAGTCCATGAAGAAGAAGAAGACCACGCAGAGGCGATATTGAAATCCAACAAGTTTCTTCAGGACTTATTCTTCATGGAACGGGTGCTGATGGAAAACATATTCCAGCCGAAGCTTGCAGCTTATCGTCAGCTTCCTGTGTTAACAGGTATTTTTTTTTTTTTAAAAACCGATCACTTTAGATAACCACATTCAAAAAGTTTAAATGGTATTATTACGTATTTCTGAATGTAATCTCCATCCTCGGTACCATTTATTAGAGGATGTGCTTCCATGTTGACGTACATCCACACATGTCCACATATACCTTTGTCAATTTCTTCATCCCCAACTTTCCAATCATGTTGTTTTTCTTAAGCTTCTCCTGACCACCCAGCCAAATCATTGCTTCAACGGATGAACCAGGTTAGAATCGCACTTCTGCTTATTTCTCTTTCCCAGTAAAGTGTACAGCCGGTTGTACCACTTGAAGTTCTCCCCACAGGGACGATTTCCTTTCACTGATGGCCCTTTGGAGATGTCCCAGAAAGGCACTGGGGTGCTGCAACTGTCCACTGTCAGATGGGACCTGTGTGCTCTGCGGGACCATCTATAAACCAGCCGTGGTCTTCTCCATAGGATCGTAGCAGAGCTTTGTGATGAGACACAGATTACAGCTCAGGGAGGCCAAGATGGCTGGGGTTGGTGGACAGACAATTAGACAGGAAGGAGCTCTGCAGAGAAAAAAAAACTAAATAAATCTACGTTTGAGTCTTTGACTACCCGTATGCTGTGCATAGTAGGATAAAACTGCACAAAACCAAGCAAAGAACAGCTGGCAGGATGCTGGATAAAGCACAACTCTTAGAGTCTACACCTGGTTAGGAGACATTTGAGTTTTGACTAGACAGAGAAACCTTGCTGCTTGCCAGTCAGTCAGTAGATATCTGGGACAATTGTACCTTTCTCCTAGGGCTGACCTAGCCTGAGTAAAAGCCAGTGTAGACACTCGAATAACCCGTTAGGAAAGGCCATAAAATATCATTCTATCCAAGATTAGATGAACTACTTGCCAAAGCACATGCTAACACTTTATAAAGGAAGAAAACATAATCTATGCATTGAGCACTAACATGTACCATTGACAGCCTCCAAAAAAATTCACTAGTGATGTGAAGTGGGAAAATGCAACGCAGAACTACAAGAAAAGTCAGTCACAAGAAACAGATGGAAACATCACTGAGATGGTGGAAAACGCAGACAGGGACTTCTGAAAAGCTATAATACCCATAACACTCAACACCACGTTGAAGAAAAAGAACAACGTTGGAGAACTAAGACTACCTGACTTTGAGACTTACCGTAGGTGAATGGAGACCTGTTCCACAGTCAGGGTGGTGTGGTGCTGGTGTGACAACAGACAAACAGATGAGTGAAACAGAATAGAAAGCCCAGACATAGACCTATACAAACATGGCCGTCTGACCTTTGACAAAAGAGGAAAGAAAGCACGACAAAGAAAACATAGTCTTTTCAAGAAATGGTGTCAGAGCAACTAGACATCCACATGCAGAAATGACCTTCACCCTTCACAGACATTACCTGAAATGGACCGTAGATCTAAAAAGGTAAACGACAAACTCCTAGAAGATACCATAAAAGAAACCTCAGTGACCTTGGCATTGGAGTGACTTTTAAAATAAGCACCAAAGGCACAATCTACCCAAAGGGATATTGATAGGCTTGAAAGCTTTTGTTCTGCAAGAGACACTGTGAAGAGAATAAGAAGACAAGTCACTGGAGAAGATATATCTAGAAGACAGAGCTGAATACAACAATCTCTGAAAGCACAACGAAGTAAACAAAGGTTGCTATTTAAAATTGAGTAAAAGACCCAACATGATATCTCAGGAAGGAAGATGTGCAGATGGCAAGTGCGTGTATGAAATGTGTCCTTGGAGATTTGCAGGTTAACAGCGAGGCACCACTACACACCTGCTAGAGTGGCCACATCCAAAACACTGACACCCCAAGTGCTGGCGAAGGTGTGGAACGAGAACCCCCTTTCACGGCTGGTGGGAATGTACAGCGGTGTATCCCCTTTGGGAGACAGACGGTTCCTATGAAACCAAACATGCTCTTCATGTACAGTCCAGCAATCACCTGGTATTTACCCAATTGATCTGAAAACTTCTGTCTACAGAACACACATGTGCATGAATGTTGGTAGGAGCTTTATTCATAATTGCCAAAACTTGGAAGGAACCAAGATACCCTTCAGTAGGTGAATGGGGACCCGTACTGTGGTACATCTGGATAATGTAATATTATTTGGCACTGAGTTATCAAGCTATGCGCAGACCTGGAGGACACAGCAGTGCCTGTTACTTAGTGAAGTGGTATGATCCCAACCATGTGACATTTAGGAAAGGGCAAAACTATGGAGCAAGTGAAAGATCAGGAGTGGCCAGGGTAAGGCCCCCAGCAAGGATGAACAGGCAAAGCACAAAAGGTTTTGGGGGCAGTGACACGATTTTATGTGATACTCTACTGGGGCGTACAAGTCATTAGACATTTCCCAAAACCCATCGAATGTACACCGCCGGGAGTGAATCTTCCTGTAAACTGGACTTTGGGTGGTAATGATACCAAACCAGGAGTAATAGCACACTCCTGGAAGGATTGCAGAGGTGCCACTCCCAAGGACTTGAAATATGGAGGGATCTGATTCTCACCATTTCTCCCAATCAACTCATGTGTTTGGCTGATAGAGAAAACAGATGGGTCTCTCTGAGAGAATGGCAATGAATTATTATAAACTTACCAGCTGGTGACTCCAATTGCAACTGCTGCTCCAGATGGGGCTTCATAAGTGTGAGAAAGTCAGCACATCTCGTACCTACCTTGCTATTGATAAAGTAACTGCTTTTTTTTTTTTTTTTTTTTTTAGTATCTGTTGGCAAAAAGCCAGCAGAAGCCATTTGTTTTCAGCTGTCCAGGTTAGCAGCAGAGTTTCTCTGTGGCCCTTTGGGGTGCTATCTGTCTTCAACCCCAGTTTCTAATTTAGTCTGCAGGGACCTCTCACTTCAGTAAAATATCACCCTGGTCCTCGGCACTGATGATATTATATGGATTTGGCCGGGTAAACAGGAGATAGACCAGGCCTGGTGTCTAGTGGGTAACGCAGTGGATGTACCACTGTGACTCATTTAATGAGTGCTGCAGAAGCTGCTAGCTTTAAGCAGGACCTGGAACAACAGCAGATCCTGTAGCAGGTTCAAGATGTTGCCCAAGGTGCCCCATCCCTTTAGCCCCCGACATGCGAGCTTGAGGGTGTCCAAGGTGTCAGTGGGGTGGAGATGCTGCTTGGAGCCCTTGTAGTGCAGACAACAGTGGTGTTTCTATTTGATGTAATTCTAGAGCCCGAGCCTGGAGAGGCTACAGACCTTCTAGAAGGTGAAAAGGTTGAAGAAGTGGAAGAAGAAGTTAAGAAGGAGGAGGAGGAAGAAATAGAAATAAATACAGAGCAATCGACGATACCAGCCAATCTGGAACGGCTGTGGTCCTTCTCCTGTGACCTAACCAAAGGTCTCAATGTGAGCAGCCTTGCCTGGAATACAACAAATCCAGTGAGTTACCAAACATTTTAATGACATTTCCCATCCATCGCCAATTATCACGTTTTTTTTTTTTCTGGTACCGGGAATCAAACTCACGACCTTATGCTTGCCAGGCAGGTGCTGTGCTGCTGAGCTAAATCCCCAGCCCCTAATTATCACATTTTAATAGTAAAGTTTGTTTCTCCTCTCAGCTATGGGGCAGAGATTTGCATTAACCATAACTTCCCAGTTCTAGAATGTCTCTAGAACAAGTTCATGTTTCACAAAGGGAAAATACAAATAGTTACAAAACAGTTTTTTTTTTTCTTATATGTGAAAACATTACCATTTTTATCTTAGAAGTTATACTTGGGAGGTGGCACGTTCTGAATTCATGTCAGGTACTGTACTGAGAAGTATACCAAGACATTACACGATTGCTTTATTTTAATGTATATCAAAACTCACGTGCCCAAATTTGGTTTCTCATCAAAGTCATCTCATGTGGAAGTATGCGCTTAACCCAGTGACCCCTGAAAATGTGCAAAATAATTTTGAGATTCCTTAACATATATCATTGCCAGTAGAGGCAAATACTTACATAGCACTTAGTAAGTACCGAGCATTGTTTAGTTTTGCCTGTATCAATATCAACATAAGAACTTCATGAGCCATGTGCGCTGTTATCCCCATTCTGTTAATAAAGAAAATGAAGTACAAAGAGGATAAATAACTTGTCTAGTATTACACAACTAGTTAGTGAATTAGCCAGGACAAGCAGACCTCTGGTACCAAGGTCCTTGCCCTTTGCTCCCGAACTGCTGAAAGTCATCTTAATGTGAGTAACGCGGATCGTCAGGCAGGGCAGTGATATGTTTTCTTATAAAAAGGAGAAAAGTACAGAGTAAAAACATGGGTTTTTCTGGAGGTTTATAAACTGGCTCTGAAAGCATTTCCCAATTTTAATTCCAGCAATCTTTTGGAAAATTGCAACATCCTTGAAATAAGTATGTAGCGTATTTCTAAAAGTAGTCAAAACTAATTTGTTTATTAAAAATCATATTGTATGATGTATATTTAAGAATTAGCTCTAGGATTTCGCTGAAACATTTTATCTGTTACTATGTACAAACATGATAGTTGTCATGGGTACTAAAAAACAAAGTCTGTAATCATTTTTATTGAAACCTAAATATACATAATTTTAATTATGTTTATTGTTTTTAATAAAAGTAATTTTATTACAGATTTGTCTTTATAAAACCATGTTTAGGAACATGTTATAGATAAGTGGGATTTACTACATTAATAGCAATCTATGATAAAGATATATGAGACATTTTTAGAAACAAGATACAGTACTAGCACTTTTTAATTAATACAGTGATACTGGGATTAAATTAAATCATTTGGGTGAAGCTAATTGAAGCATAGTGCAGGTGGCATTTGTAATATTCATTAATTAATTCTACAAATATTTGTTGAACATTCTTTCTGCCAGCACTGTTAAGACACTGGCGATGCAGCAGTAATTAAACCATAGACTGTGCCTGTATAATAATTTCTGATGTGCTTCGGTAAGGAAAATAAACAGAGCCGGGGAAATGCCTAAGAGCCTGTTGAGTGCTTATTAGACAGAGAGTAACACGTATGAGTCTTGAAGAAAAGGCAGAGGGTCTGTCAGTGCCAGGCTGAAAGGTGGGGAGATGAAGCCTGTGTATGGAGAGGGGGCTTGTGTACAGATGATGCTGGTGCAAAAGGACAGCAGTGACCAGAAAATACATTTGCGATAAGTATATTCTGGTTACAAAAAGTAGCCTGGGTGTGGCCGGTCATGAAACATTTGTCTCTAGGTGTTCACATAATGCATTATTTGGTTGTTTGTTGGGTTGGGTTGGTTTTTTTTGTTGTTTGTTTTGTTTTTGAGACAGGGTGTCGCCATATGCAGTTCAGGCTGGCCTTGAACTCATTATGTAGCCCAGAGTGGCCTCAAACTTGTGATGATCCTCCTGCCTCAGCCTCCAGAGTGATGGGATTACAGGCATACAGTACCACGTCTGGCTCACACATATATTTCTCAATACAATCTGCTGTGTTAGTCAGCTATAACAAAATACCTTAGGTTATGTAGCTTAAACAAGCACGGTTTATTTTCTAACAGTTTTGGAGGTTGGGAAGCTTGAGGTCAAGCTGTTGGCCAATTTGGTTCCCAGGGAGAGCTTCCTTTCAGCTCCCTTTGCACTCCTGTGTCTTCACAAAGTGGAGAGAGCTCTGTTCTCTCCTCTTCTTCTTAAAAAGTCACCAACCCAATCTGATTAGGACCCCAGCTTACGACCTCCGTTAACCTCCATGGCCTCCGAAAGCTCTGTCTCCATGTTCAGTCACCTGGAGGTGAAGGCTTCCACATAGGAATCTGAAGGGCACACTCTGCCCCAAACACCTGCTCTTAATTCCAACATCTTTCATTTTGTATTTGAAATAATTAGGTCATCTCCAGCAGCCTGTAGGGTATTCAGATATAAAATACATTCTTGGAAGGTAACTTCAATGTGTAAAAGAACTTGTTAGCAATGAGTTCCTTCTAGGTACCTAATCTTCTGAAAATGAGAAGTGCTATGCCAGTTACTTTTACTTGCTTAGCAAAATGCAGGTGTGGACTGAAAATTGATGGTGTCTTAGTTACTTTTTCTCACTGCTGAGACAAAATACCTGACACCCAAAGTTAAAGGGGGAAAGGTTTAAATGAACCTAAACAGCTCACAGTTTGTAGAGGTTTCAGTCCATAGTCAGCTGGCTCCAAGGCAGGGCGGCGTGGGAGAGGCATTGCAGAGGAGAAACAGTCCATGGCAGGCAGGAGGCAGCAAAGCAAGCAAGCAAGCAGCAATAGCCCCTATTTCTGCCCCTTTTATATTCTGTCTAGGATATCTGATTTAGGGCAGTGCCAAACCAATCAGTAGAAATTTACTTAGCATACACCCTTAATCCCAGCATCACACACTCTAGATCCAGCCACCTCTGAAAAGCCCCACCTATGACCGCATGAGGCTTTGGGGGGAGACATCTAGATACAAGCCAGAACAGATGGTATACCAATATTTTTTATTCTCTGTAGAAAAGTTTTACCAGTATTTTAAAATATAGTTTTTTAATAGTTATCATTGTACATGTGCCAGTATTTTTATGCTATCTTCTTTTGTTTTGAATTTATTATTCTGGTTTTTAGGACCTTTTGGCTGTTGGGTATGGACACTTTGGATTTAAGGAGCAAAAAAGAGGATTGGCTTGCTGCTGGTCAATAAAGAATCCTATGGTAAGTTAAATGGAAATAAGAACCATTAGTATTTTAATTAGGTATTGATAAACTCTTCATAAAATTTTTAGTTGTATGTGATAATTAAGCAAGTTCCAGGAGATTTCATAAGTTAAAAACTTTTCTTCTTTATTTGGTTTGGTTTAAATCCGTAGCCATTAACATTTGTTCTTGTTGACACAGGAGAAAAAGAATTTATCTATGAATTCACTCAGTAAATATTTATAGAGCATGAACTTAGGCGCCGTTAGGTCTGAAGGCACAGAATTGGACCACTGTTGAATCACAGCTAACCATAAAGAAGAAAGGCTCTGTAAAATCTTTTGAAAATTAGACATTCACTTTTATACTTGTTTTTTTTTCTTTTTATGGGGTATAATAAAAATTTATGGTGAATGTTTAATTTAAAAAATTGTAACCGAAAAGACACATCACCTTTGCTCTCTCTCAAAATCTTCCAGCTCTCTTTGGACACATTTGTCCTATAGTCCACGTCACTTTCTGAAGCAGCTCTGTAAATCTTCTTTCATGAGGGTCTTTTGTTGCGCTTCCCTGGCTGCCTCGATGTCCTGAATCGACTCAAAATGTTTTCCTTTCATGTTTACTTTGATTCTGGGGAAGAGCCAGAAGTCACATGGTGTCCGATCTGGTGAATAAGGTGAAGACACACTGTGACTTTTATGAACCTGCCTCTTTTGGATGGTGCTTGGCAGTGCATTCAGGTATTTCTGATCACACCTCCTAAAGATATTCAGGCAAGAGGACGCCAGAGCTGCTTCAGAAAGAGAAGTGAATGATGAGATAAAGGGGAGGGGTTGAGGGGGATTCATGGCGGTGTGTCTTTTACAATACACTTTTAAAAGTTAAGTGCACCGTATATTTCAAGCACACCTCATATATGAATAGCTCCTTATCACCTGAGGTACATTAGATATGATAGGTTAATATGACCTTCTCACTGTCATGAATTTGCAAACAGAATGAGTTCTTATCACTGTAACCTTTTTTATTACACAGCCCTCGTCAATCTGTCACTTTAAAGCTTCCCATTTAGTTTTAAGTCAAAACTGAAATGTGACGTGGGAAACTGAGAGAAGGACCGGGAAATTGTATAAAAGTGATGTAAGTTTTTATAAATAGCTCATCTGTCAGGAAACTGGGTTGAGACAGCATGAAAATCCCAGAAATGAGTCATTTTCAGTGTGGAAGGGTGAACATAAAATTCATCGTTGGTAGCCTGTGTTCTGTTCCCCAGAGATGGATAGAAAAAGAAACAGATTTAGATGAGGCTTGGTGGAGTTGTAAAACAGAGTAATCTAGGGAGTTTTTTCCGTTATTGTTCAGAAATAATTAGATAAGGTTACACAGTGCTGGAGGGCAGGAGCATCGGCTGCAGGCGCTGTGTTTGCAGCTTACTCTTCCCAAGGGAAGCGAGCTATGTGATGGTCATACTAACCCTGCTGAGCAAGTCCAAGATGTAATATTGCAGCTGCCTACAGTGTATTTCTTAAAGCCATTGGGTGGACGGCTAAAGATTCCTAGTTTTATCAGAATAAAGGAATGACTAATTGCGGTTTCCTTTTCACTTATACTAGAAGTTAATAGGAAGACAGGAGTAACTGAACACAGACCAGCTCTTGTCACGTCCCCAAGGCCACCAGGCTAGTCTCAACCATTGCAATATCCTACCTTACTGTGGGCTATAAAAACAAGTTTACAGTGTCACAGAATTATGTTTTTATTCAGTGGCCAGAACGTGTTTATCCAAGTCTATATGGAGTTACCACTGTGGATTTCTCAATTGGAACGCCTAACTTGTTAGCAGTCGGCTACTACAACGGCACCATCGCGATTTATAACGTCCAGAGCAGTAGTACTGTTCCAGTTCTAGATAGCAGGTGAGGACCTGAGAATTGATAAACATAGAACGATGCCTTTCTGGGAAGGGTCACTCTAATTTCATTTAGTTTTAAGTGAGTACGTGTGTGCTCACTGAGGGGGCTACTGTTACTTTCAAAACATGTAATACTTTTCCATATTGTTTCTCCAGCTGGAATGCCTTGTCACAATGATCTCCTTGGTTGTTTTTTAAAAGAAATTTTGGCCTGAACTCAGGGCCTTCAAATTGAGCTACATCCCAAGCTCCCTTGCTCTTTCTTCTGTCTGTCTGTCTGTCTCTCTCTCTAGAGATATACACACACACACACACACACACACACACACACACACACACACACATTTACTTATTTATTTTCTGGGAGGCAGGCACTCACTACATTATCCCAGCTGGGCTCAAACCAGCAGTCTTCCCGCCTCAGCCTCTCAGAGTGCTGGGATTACAGGTGTGCACCCCAAGCCTGGCTTCCTCTCTTTTACCTTGCCCACCAGCTGCCTTTGGTTGGACAGTTTAGGGCGCTGTTTGAGGACCCTCCTTTCTCTGGCACATCCTCCCCATACACCATCATCACAGCCCATGTCACACCGAGTGCTAATTATCTGCAGGTAGACAGATCTGCCTGAGTTCTAATATAAGCTCGTTGAGAGCCAGTGTTGATCATTCCTTTGCATTTTCAGTGCATCAGACAGTATCAGATGTGCAGTAGCATTGCCGTAAATGTTTAATCACTAGTGAGTGAGTGAATGGGTTATACTGAGAAAAATAGAAAACTGAAGGTGAAAAATAATCACAGAGATTGCTCTTTGTACTAGACCAGATGGCATTGGGGCTAAGTGCTCGTATATTTATATCAGTGCTTGAATAAACTTAGAACTGGAAATAGCCCCTAAAGCAGAAACTCCTAAACTTAATTTTAAAGTTATTCATACAGCTTTGTAAGAATTGACCTTTGTGTTTGTTTCTGGGAGGAGGGACCATGAATTTTCACCCACTACTCAAAGGCATCCATGATGTTTTTAAAAATTCAGAACTATTGCATTGGAAAGTTTCTAAAAAAAGCCTAAAGAATTAGTACTAGCAATAGAGTATCCCATTAATTTGATAGGAAAGTTAATACTCTGAGAAGTGATTTTAATTTTTCAGAAAAAAGTTAATCAACAAGACAGTATCAGTATAGTAGGCAATCTTGAAACATAGCAAGAACTGTTTACTTGAACAGGATTTAAATGACTAATTGATTTAAGCTAAGAAAAAAATATAAAATTGAAGATACTTTTATTCAGTGTGTCTAAAAGTAGATAAAATCAATTTACAGAACTAAACTAAGGGAGGAGGAGTGCATAGAGTAATAAAAGCAGATCTTGAGAAGAAAATACTTGTTTCTATATTCTTGTTAAGGTAGGTAATTGTAAGCTACTATTTCCTAATATACTTGTAATCCAGTAAATTTTTCCTTTTGCAAGAATAGGAAAAATAACATAGTGAATATTATGGCAAAGTGGTCATCTATCTTGTTTTTCAAAATACTTAAAAATCCAGTTTGAATGATAAAAGCATCATTGTGTAAGTCTGTTACGATTCTCTAGGGTGCCGTGTTTGTCACATGTACTCCGAGGCCGCTAAAATCATCACGCTAATTCTGTAACTGGCATTCTTCCCCATGTTAGTGAATCGCCTCAAAAACATGTGGGACCTGTGTGGCAACTGCAGTGGATAGAACAAGATCGAGGAACAACGGGCGATGATAAAAGAGAATTCCTAGTTTCTATCTCAGCAGATGGAAGAATCTCCAAATGGGTTATACGGAAAGGCCTGGACTCCCATGGTAAAAGAACAGAGAGAGCGAGATCTTTCTCTTGTTGTGAGCCCTGTGTGACATATTTATTTGGGTTTGGCCAATAAGAAAGACAGTTGGGTTTGAACATTGTTCTTTTAAGCATTTAATTTTTTTTGTTTGTTTTGTTTTTTTTGTTTTGTTTTCCAGTACCAGGAATTGAACTCACGATGTTGCGCTTGCCAGGCAGGCGCTGTGCCGCTGAGCTAAATCCCCAGCCCCTAATTTTGTTTTTTGCTCATTTTAGCCTAAGTCCATGCAAAAGATGGGAGCAATTGTAACATTATCAGCAGAAGAGGCATGGATGGTTCTTGCATTACTTTTTTATGTGGTAAATAACACGTTACTTTTTTTTCTTCAAATAAAGATTTGATGCGATTAAAACGAACTACTGTCAGCAGCAACAGAAAAGGGGGGGACAAGGAGAAGAAAGGGGAAGCATTGATATCTCGGCAGGCTCCCGGAATGTGCTTTGCTTTTCACCCCAAGGTAAGCTGTTTCAACCCGTTACTTATTTTCCTCTGTAACCACGTCCAAAAGTCGAAGTGTAGGGAGATGTAAAACATGATGAAGTGTCAACATAGTGTCTTAGTTACTTTTCTCTTGTTGCTGAGACAAAATACCCAACACCCCAAATTAAGGAAGAAAAGGTTTATTTATTTATTTATTTATTCCAGTTTGTGGAGGTTTCAGTCCATACTTGGCTGGCTCCAAGGCAGGGTAGCCTGGCACCAGGGTAATACTTCAAGGTGGTAGAAGGTAGAAAAGCAGCAAGTGATAAAAAGAGGGGAAGCAAGCCTCTTTTCCTCCCTTATCCTGTATGCCCTATCCGCCCACGCCATCTCTGTGTCCTCCTCTTCCACGTGCTCAGAATGTTTACAGAGTGAGGACTCTGGCCCCCTGCTGAGCCACTTAATTAAGCTTCAAAATTTCTCAGTTCTCAGATTGATCCAGTGTACCAACCATTACACATGGTAATAAATATTGTGCTTTGTATGTGAAAAAACAGACTTAGACGTAGCTGCTGCCCTAAGGTAGAATGGAGTATTCCTGTCAGCAACACCATGTGCTCTACCTGCTCTTCCAGATGGAGGGGAGGTGTGCATTTCTGAACAACTGTGGAAAGATTCTCTGCAATGGCAGCCTTAGCTTCAGTGCTGTCCGTGCCCCGCTTGGCCAGTCCACTATTCTATTCCACTTTCATGAGCCAAATCTGCCCTACAGGACGCTCGCTCCTTTGCAGTGTGAGTGCTGACTCTCAGGGTCAGAGGATTAGGAAGACCGTTGAGTTTACATTTAATAATATCCGAATTAAATCAGAGAGCAGTTAATGCAGTTTGACTCTTTCTGATTGTTTTTACCTGGAGGTACTTTGGAATCAGGAAGTTCAGACACTATGATGGATATCTAAGACATTAAATGCATGTTTTTTGGTTACGTCTAATATAATCATCTCTTTATGCAACAGTATGGTCTACCTACTTATGCAAACAGAAGCTTGAGCTGTCTCTGCATTCTACCCTGTTGTGCAAACCATAGTGAAACCTTGTCATCTTTTCTGATCCACACATACTACTGCCAATATAGTTGAGGCCTTAATTATTTTTCTCTTTTACTACTCTAGCCATCTTCTAACTGCCCTCATTCCCTCATCCTGTAATCCACCTTCACTTTGAAAGGTAGAGTACTCTACAGTGAAAGTCCTCATCAAGTGCAAGGAGAGAGGGATTTCTCCTCCAAGAGCTTTTTATCAGAGTCTGGTGATATTTTCGGTTATTGCAGCTGCAGTAGGTCAGGCTGAAGTCAGAATTACTCCTGGAACCTAGTGGGCAGAGACCAGGCAAGATACTAACACCCTGCAGAATACTAGAAGCCACCAGCCTCTGGCTGCCCACCCACCACCCAAAGAATCCTCTGACCCAAAATGCCAATAGTATTGGGTTAAGAAACACTAGTCTGCTGTCTTCAAATTATCCTTGGTATAAGGAATTGGAGGTGATCATGTGGTCTGTAAATAAAGACTATTTTCTTTTCTCATCTGATTGCCTCTTAAATTCTTTTCTTGCTTGATTGCACTGGTTAGAACTACCAGTACATGATGCGTTGAGGGTAGGAAAGCAGATATACTTTCCACTACATTCCTAATTTTTGAACACTTATATCAGGGATGGATGTTGGAATTTACCAAATGCTTTTTCTGTATGTATTAAGATGACCATAGACTTTTTCTTTGTAAACTTGCTAATACGTTGAATTACACTGATTGTTATTTTTGAACGCTTATTCCAGAAATAAGCCCCACTTGATTGTGACTTATGACCTTTTTAATGTGCCACTGGTTTTGGTATGCTAAATTTTTGTGTAGATGTCTACATCTTTGTCTGTAAGGGACATTGGTATACAGCTTTCTTGTTGTGTCTTTAGTTTTGATACCATTGTAATCCTGACCCCATAGAATTGTTTTTTTAAAAAGAATTTGCATAAAATTAGCATTGTATCTCATTATGCTTGATAGAATTAATCAACCTTCTGAGTCTGCAATTTTCCTTATAAGGAAATTTTAAACTGTAAGTTCAAATTTTTAATGGATGTAGGGCTACTGTGACCGTCTATTTCTTCTAGAGTCAGCTTTGGTAACGTGTGCCTTTTAAGAAATTTGCCTATTTCATTTAATTTATTACTGGCATAAGATTCTTTTTTGGCATCATTAAATAATCATAAAATATAATTCATTATTTCAGTAATTCCTAATTTTAATTTGTATCTTCTCTCTTTTTTTCCTGATTAATCTGTCTGAAAGTTTACCAGTTTTTTTCTTTTTTGATTCAGAGGTCTTCCTGTGTAACCCAGGTTGGTCCTGAACTCCTGGGCTCAGGTGATCCTCCTGTCTCAGCCCCACGTAGTAGCTGGGGCCATAGGCACATGGGTGGTGCCCAGCTCAATTTTATTGATCTATGGAACCAGGTTTGGATTTAACTGACTTTCACATTTTTTCTATTCTCTATATACAGTGGTGCCTTGGTTCACAAACTTAATTCATTCTGTGATCCAGGGGAAGATGGCCATGGTCATGTTCATCACTCCATGCAGTTTGCTAACAGAAGCAAAATTTTGCTGAAAGCTTCTGTGTGTGAACCCAGTTGTTTGTGAACAGAAGCCTTCATGAACCAAAGTATTACTGTAATTGATTTATACAGCGATGTCCTTTCTTTGTTTTTGATTTTAATTTACTCCTGTTTTTCTTGTTTCATGAGGTGAAAGTTGAGGTCACTGATATGCAACATTTCTTCTTCTCTAATACATGTATTTGTGCCATAACTTTCTAAGTTCTGCTTTGACAGCACCCTACAAGTTCTGAGATGTTTGCATTTCCATTTTTATTCTGTGTAAAATATTTTCTAATTTCTCCTACAATTTCTCCTACCAATGTGTAATAAAGTGTCTAAGTTTTTGGTAATTTCCCAAAGAGTGTTCTATGACTGATTTCTAATTCAGTCCCTCCATGGTCACAGACTTCACCTTTTGGAATATTTTTGAATTCAGTAAGATGTGTTGTAAAGCTCAGAATGTGCACTTGACAAAACTGTATACATATTCTGCTGCTAGGTAGAATATTCCATAAACTTCAGCCAGATGAAGGTGGTCGATGGTGTTGCTCTAGTTCACTTTCTGCTGATTTTCTTTCTACGTTTTCCATCAGTTATTGAAAGGGAAGGAGCTGTCCAACCACAGTTACTGATTTGTCTATTTTTTTCTGTTCATTTTCTTACATATCTTAAAGCTTTGTTACTAGGTACATGTAGACATGTTTAGGATTGTTTGATTAATTAACTCCCTTATTATTATGAAGTAGCCTTACTAACCACTGTTAATGCTGTTTATTCAGAAAGCTAATCTGATATTAATGTAGCCATTCTACGTTTCTTTATTTTTTTCCACATTTCTTTAAGCCAATGTGATCATGGTTCATAATTTTCCATCTTTTTCTTTTAAACCTATTTGTGTTTTTATACATGTTTTAAAACACATTTCTTGAGGGCAGCATATAGTTTGGTCTCCCTTCTTTTATACAATCTTAAAATCTCTGCTTTTTAATTGTGATGTTAAAATCCTTTATGTTTAGTTTGATTATAGATTGGGGTTAAGTTTGAGGTTATCATCTTGTTTGATTAGCTTATCAAGGAGAGAGTCTAAAATATCCAGGGATAGAATCTAAAATATCCATCCTTCTTGCTGTGAAGCAGGATTGTGAGGAGCCGTCTCCTGCCGAGAGCTCTTCATAGGTACACTGAGCTGTCTGTTGAAATGGTCAACTTCAGTCTCTCCCCATTCCTGTTTCCTGCACAAACTTTTTGATGCAATCTCAGAGTATATTTTCCAGGCACCCCAGCGTCTGTCAGTATCTTTGAAGATTCCTAGTGAAATACAACACTTATAGAGGGTGTTGAGATTGTCATTATTCAAATTTAAAAAATAGAATAGATCCGCTACCCCATTATACCTTTAAAAAAAACTTTAGTAGAAATATAGGAAAAATCTCTCTGACTTCAAGGTAGGGAAGGAGTTCTTAAGAGCACAAAATTTAAATCTATAAATGAAAATGAGAATATCTGTTTATCAAACACAGTTGCCTTGTTTACTTTTCTTGCTGCTGAGACAAAACACTCGACACCCAGAGTTAAAGGAGGAAAGGTTTATGTCAGCTCGTAGCTGGTGAAAGTTTCAGGTCACAACTGGCTGGCTCTGAGACAGGGTGGCACGGCACAGGGGCACCAGTTCATGGTGGGCAGAGGTAGGAAGGCAGCAAAGCAGCGAAGCAGTGACCAAGTGACAGCAGCAGCCTGCCTCTTCCTCTCAGCCCTTCCAGGCGGCCTGCTCTATGGGTGGTGCCACCTGCACCTGGGGTGGGTGTCCCATTATCCACCCCCAGAACAATGCCACACCAAATAGTAGCCTAATTCAGTAATCACACACCCTAGAGCCAGCCACCTCCAAAAAAGTCCTACTTCATGAGGCTTTGGGGGACATCTAGACACAAGCCAGAACAACAGTAAAAGAAAGTGGGCAGAAAATCCACTCACTGGCCGATGATATTTGCAACATAGGCAACAGACAAAGCAACAAGACCTAGGGTAAGGGACTTACACAAATAAAATTTTAAAAGATAGACTATTAGTAGAGACATGGACAGAAGAGACAATTGGCCACTAAACATGAGAAAAGTTCTTCACCTTACTAATACACAAGAAGACGTAAAACCATGTAAAATTTTACATCTAATAGAATGGCAATAATACAATTTCTGATGCAACCAGTTGTTTAAGAGCATGTGGGTTAAAGGGAATTCTTGTATGCTGCCCATGAATGTGATGTATTGTGTAATCTGTACGTTTGTTTAAAGAATGTGTAGGACCCACAGTTTAGTAGTAGCATCGTATATACAGAGCTCTGTACTTCAAGCTTTGATGTGCATAGAGTACTCGGTAACACTGACAAGGTGCAGGGCTGCTGGCTCCCGAGGGTTCGCAGCTCTACAGTACTTCCCAGTGGCACTGGTGCTGTGGTGGGACCGCACCCAGTGTGGCCAAGACACAGGGCCCTGACCCACTGTGCAAAACACATTTCAAGTCCCCAGGGGGTGCACATATTTCGCGTTAAAGATGCGTGAGATGCCGCCTAGTTTAACCTTTCATTCCCAGTAATAATCATTTCCTCAGCATCAGCTACATAAGTATTTATTGAGTCATGTGTATTTATTGTTAAAACATCTGTCTTGTCTTTGACTTGTACTACGGAAAGAGCAGCTATTGTTTCCCTGGATGGTTAGTTTCATGGTCAGGCAACTTCAAATGTTGGAAAGTCTTTTGTTGATTTTAAGCCAATTTTTCCTCATAAGTTTTAGGTAGAATATTAAATATCCCCATCTATTCCAGTAAAGGAATTGTTATAAAATCATAACAGAAAGAAAAAGGTAACTGACACCTATATTCAAGATAGTATTCTTGTTTTGGTTTCTGAATTGATTTTAATAGATCCTGAATTGTCCGATCTCCTGTTTAGCTCACTTACTAATATATCATAAGCCAATGCATTGTGGTTTTTTGTGTTGTAGGACACAAATATCTATTTGGCTGGCACTGAGGAAGGTCATATTCACAAATGTTCTTGTTCATATAATGAACAATACTTAGAAACCTATAGAGGACATAAGGTTAGTTTAATTATGGTAGGTATGGAAAATTTATCTTATAGTATTTCTGAAAGAAATAGTATCATATCATTAATTTTTTTGTGCAAATTATGGAAGTCACATTTTTTTTGTTTCTAAAGGACCTCGCTTATAATACCATGCTGATCTCGAAGCAAAATTCTCTCTTGCATATACCTAGTCTTTGTATCTTTTTATGATTCTCCCATCCAAGTTGTTTCATTTTCTCCCTCATTTCTTTGTTTTTTTTTAACACTATCTAACACCTTTTTAAGTCATTCGATATGTGCTAATATTTAGTGGTGATTATAGCAACTGTAGTTTTGTGTTTCCACATGGGATAGTTGAGGGAAGAATCAATTTATGATCTTACTCTCCACTAAAGTAATGCCCATGTAATAATGGCGGTATATAAATCTAGAAATCTTCCTATTTTTAATTTGCTGGCCAAGTCTAAGATTTATGCATTTTATTTCTTCTGTTTCCAGGGCCCTGTGTATAGAGTGACCTGGAACCCTTTTTGTCCTGACATATTCTTAAGCTGCTCAGCAGACTGGGGGGTCATGATATGGCAACAGGAGAACCTCCAGCCCTTCCTGAGCTTCTACACAACGACTCATGTTGTTTATGATGTTGCCTGGTCTCCAAAATCATCCTATATATTTGCGGCTGCAAACGAGAGCAGAGTGGAGATTTGGGACCTTCACGCCAGCACGTGAGTGCTACATGTTAATATTTTCTAGGGGACATTTCCAGTTGGAGCCCCTCAAGCTGAATGATGCGTAGGAGTTTTAACATCCACGAGAGAGGGCTGTAGTTACTTTAACACCAGTAACTGGCTTAATCCAGCAGTCTTTGTTTGTTTTATGAGACAGGGTCTCACTGCATACTTTTGCCTGGTCTTGAACTCACTGTGTAGCCCAGACTGGCCTTGAACTTGCAGTGATCTTCTTGCCTCAGCCTCCTGAGTGCTGGGATCACAGATGTGCACCCCGCCCCCCCGGCAGTTCTATGAGTCTTTTATGAGTAAAGCTATATGCCAGGATGCTGTATTCACATTAATTACTTATAGCATAGGTAGCCTTAAGAACATCTGAATGAAGAGCTTACATTAAGTGTGTCCTCAGACACTGGCTGTCATAAGCGCCTCGGGTCCTTCTTCATTTGTATTCATTGCCTAGTGTGTAGGTATGAAGTATACGAGAAGGCATGATTATATGTCTAATTCTACAATGAGATTCTCTCAATAAGATAAAAAAGCAAACAAAATTATTACTTTTGCAGTATTTACTTTTTCTCTTACCTCATTTCAAAACATATTCAAAGGAGTACGCACTTGACAAGATTTATTATTGATGATATTACACAAAAGTTATCAGATCCATCTATTCTTTTAATATGAAAAGTTATGCAATACTGGAATAAAATGTTCAATGATACTATTTCCACTGGGAAATATCATAAATCTTTATGCTAGTTATTAGTAAAAGGAACAAGAAAATACATTTTTGTTTAAAATAAATGACAAATTTCAGTGGTTCTGTAACTAGTGGTAAAAAGTTTTTTCTTTTTACTTGTAGCTAATAATTCAGTAATTTAAACTTCTTTTTTTTTTAACCATAGTTTGCTCTTTTAAACAATGTCAGCCAAAGAAAGACCAGGGATTAGTTCCTCTTGAGAGGGCCGGGACTCATGTCGACAGTGGCTATTTAAACAATCCAACATCTGATATTAATTTTTCTGGTAAAACTGTAGTGCCCAGGACATTTCTTTCCAAAAATAAAAAGTTGCTGCTTTGTTTTTTTCTGAGGGCATTGGTAGGTTGTTTTGGATGACTATAAGGAGGGAAAATTCTTGTTAAAAATGTCCTTTTAGGCTCCAGAGGTTTGTTTGCATGATGACATTCTGCAGCCAGAGGGTAGTTATTTGAGGACTTGTATTAGTCCGAGTTCCCCAGGGAAATAGAACCAGTCTGGTGAACGTATCTCCTTCCTTCACTGATGCCGTCTCTGTCTCCCTCTCCGGCCCGGTCTCTGTGTTGGATTTACTCCATTCTGCTGGCGTTTACTCCACGGCAGCAGAATGCCAGTGTTTTCTTTAGACCTGCAAGTAGCTGAATGAGACCCACCCTATTATAGAGGTAGTCACTTTCACTCAGATTCTGCTCATCCAAATGCTAACCACATCTTTAGAACGCACAGTAACATGTAGACGTGTTTGACCAAATGATTATGCACCATAGCCCAGCCAGATTCACAAAGAAATGGATCATGACAAAAGTTCAAGTGCATGAGTTCACATCTTAATCGCAAACAATGTTTAATTTATCTGGTTGGAACTGGCTCATTGAAAAAATGAAAGTTTTGATTATGGAATGAGAAACAGTTATTTTGAGTTTGGAAACAGAGGCTTCTGCTTTCATTATATGAAAAAAAAAACCAGTCAAACTTTTCTTTGTACGTTTGTTTAAGGAAGACCAGTTTTAGCAAGCCTACAAACCTTTAATCCCAGTACGCGGGAGACTAGGCAGGAGGGTGGCAAGTCCCAGCCAGGGCTGCTTAGTGATTTAGTGAGACTCTGTCTCCAGATGAGGATGATGATGGTGATGACAGTGACGCTGACTATGACAATGACGACAGCAATAATAATAAAGCCCTGGGTTGCAGCTCCGCCTTCACCGGGCTCCGGCTCTAGTACCGAAAGAACCAAGAAAAGCACTATAACAGCTGAATTCATAGAGAAAACATTTCATTGCAGTTTGGACCCTCTGATTGTAAACGTGGCCAACCCTGGGATCAAGTTCACCACTGTCCTCTTTGCCAAGCACACCGACTGCCTTCTGGTGGGAGACAGTGATGGCCAAGTGGCTGTGTATGAGCTGAGAAATATGCCCCCTGCTTCAGACTCCGGCCGGGTAAGACTCCAACAGGGAAAAGGGTGTTATTTATCCAAGGATGGTGCCGCGTGCCCACAATCCAGCTACTTGCGAGGCTGAGGCAGGAAGATTATAAGTTTGAGGCCAGCCTGAGTGCCCCTCCCCCTTCTCTCACACACAGGCGTCTATCTCATGAGCCCGCTCAGTTGTGAGTTTGTGGCCTGCAGCACGTGTGCATTTCTTCAGTATCCTAACTGTGTGTTGCCATGGAAGAAGCTTAGGCACGGTGCCTTCAAGCAAGGCACTTTTCATCCTCAAAGAAAGATGATGAAAATAATAACATCCCTGAGCATAAGAATTATGAATGCTATGTAAAAGAACTGAGAATTGTGCCTAGGCACTGGGCATGGTGACACATACTATCACCCCAGCTACTCAACAGGTTAAGGCAAGAGGACTACAGGTACAAGGCCAGCCTGGGCAGCATAGCTCGGTCCTGTCTCAAAAAAGATAAGTGCCTACTATGGATTTGGACTTAGTAATTGCTGAATATAGCTAGAGAACTTTTTACAGGAAATAACTTTAACTTTTAGATATTTTCCAGGATTCTCCATAGAGGTATTTATTTCTGCAGGTTTAGCATTATCTGATTTGCTTACTCTGAACTTCACCTACGAATGTTTGTTGCCAGCCTTGACAAGCAAATCAGTCTTCTTAGAGGCTCATTATTTTTATACTAGTTTCTCAATTTTTTCTCTGTTTTTTGTGTTTAAATTGTGACTGCCAATAGTAATCTGATAACTACTACAAGAAATACAAAACACATGTTTAAAATGTTAAGAATATACAAAAAACAACAACAACAACAACAACAAAAAAAAAAAACAAGGAAAACCACTAAGGCTGTAGCAGAAGAGTGAGCAATGGTCAAAAAAAAGTTATTCACAAAAATGACCATTAAAAAATATTTTAAAATTCAACCTCATTAATTAAAAGGCATTAAATTGGAAAGATGACAGAGTTTTTATATGTCCAACTAGTCAGGTTCATTTGAAAAGCATGTATGGGCCCATCAGATCCTGGCAAGCATTTAGTAAAACAAGGTCTCTCTTGCTAATGGCTGGACTAAAAATTGGTGTAAGTTCTTTGGAAATAACTAGACAATCTGAACGCTCAGGCAATGTTGATTCCCTGACCCGGTAATTCCGCGTCTGCGACTCTGTCCTGCACAAATAAATACGAGCAGGGAATGGGGGACAGCGTTATTTGTGGTGGCACCCAAAAGGCGCAGGAAAAGGAAACGACCTGACTACCTTGGGGAGACAGGGACCAGCGCGCAGGGAAGCAGGCGCCGGAGGGACTCCAGATCAGACCCCTGCCCCGCACTTTGTACAGCGGTAAACTCCAGATGGATCCCTGTGAGAAACAAGCTACTGGAAGACAATGTAGGAACACGTTATAATGTTATATGATCATGTTATCTAACATCATTTTTTTTTTTTTAACAAAAAGACCAGCAAAAATCCTTTTTTTTTTTGTCTATCTATTTGTACAACGGGTATAATAAAGGTGCCAGTATCAAAGGCTGATAGAGTGATTGTATTAGTCAGTAGTACAATGGGTTAAAACTGTTCCTGGAACATAGTAAAATGCCAGTAAACTTCTTATTACTGTATGCCACATGGAGGACAGAAAAACAGACCATTCGATCATTGCACGAGTGCTTACTGAGCATGCGCCGTGCGAGAGGGTAGGTCTTGCGCACAAAGGATACAGCTCTGAACAACTGGTAGGAGTAACTTGTTTTCCTTTGTCCAAGCGAGAGACAGAAGCAGAAAGAGATGGGTCTGAGAAACACACCGAGGTTAGAACTGGTGAACTTGGCAGCTTGAAGGACAGGGCAGCGCCGAAGACAGTAGGCCATAGGCCACAAGGCGGGAACTGCTTCTGTAACATTATGTGAAGGGTTTATGACCCTTTAGAGTTTATAAGACATTTTCACATAATTACTCAGCTCATAGCAACCTTCAGAAATAGAGTAGGTTTTCCAAGATCGCATTTATGAGATTCAGAAAATTCTCATCTTCCGCTGCCAGTTCCCATGTTTTCTGTGTAGACTCTGCTGTGTTCTTTAAAAACTCACCATACATCTTTGGTTCTCTCCCTCTGTTAGGTAAAAATTTTGTCTTTTTTAGTACAAAGATAAGTATTATTAAATGAAAATATAAGTCTCACAGGGAAATCGAGTTCTGCTCTCATTAAATCAAGCATTAGCATATAGAGAAAGGACTGGGGAGATTGATAAGTTTAACAGATAGTTTACAGATGAGAAGGCTCAAAATTCAGCACTCCGGCTAAACAGGAGCAGCCCAAATTGTCCTCTTAGTGAATCCTCATAAAATTATTTGTCAAACTTCATTGCAAGAGTTTTTCATAGGGAAGAGCAGGTTTATACAAGGAGGAAGTAACTGTTACTGTTTAAACCTTCCTTTATTTGTTCCCTTTTTATGATCTTACTGGCTGCCCTTTGGATGTGCATGGCTAACTTATAAATGTTAAATGACATTTAAGGGACTACTCTACCCTTTCAAGTGTGTTTTATTGCATTGTAATTGTATGACTTTTTTTTTTTCTTTTCAGGGAGATATCATAAATACTTTGCTTGGGTGCAAGTCAAACCAACCAGGATAACTCATCATTCTTAATATCTTTTTTGTTGTTATTTAAAGAAAAAGAAAGAGTGTCTAATGTTCAATACACTGTATTATATGTTGTAGACTGGGATTTTGATTTTATTTGTTTTCTTTTTTGGTACTGGGAATCGAACTCAGTACTTTGTGCTTGCCAGGCAGGCACTTAGGCCACTGAGCTATATCCCCAGCCTGGGACTTTGATTTTAGAAAATAATACTTGATGTATAACTTCCATTTAAATTCAGTGAATGTTTAGTTAAATATGTGATTAGTTTGTGATGTAAGCTAAGAGTTATTCTAAGTAAGAGAGTTGTTTGAATTTTCATAATTTTCTACTTCTTGGTCGTATCTGAAGTACATATGAGTATATATGCATACTTGTAAAATGTCTGAACAGGTTAGAAAACCATTTCATTAGAGGTAAAACTTGGAAATTATTAGAATTATTTAAACTGAAATCGTTTTTTTTTTTTTTTAATTTTAAGGAGAGTAGTAAATGAGACACAAACAAACAAAAAATAGAACAATAGCATCATACCAGTATCACAAACATAAACAAATCAAAGCAAGAACAATTAAAGTGATACAGACCAGCCTGGACTACAGAGAGAGAATCTGTCTCAAAAATAAATTCCATTGACTTTAATCTTCTGCTTTCCAGGATTGCTTGTTGTATAGTTAGTATGATGAGATAGTGGATCTTTATATCCAACCTTTAACCTAAATTTTAACCCCATATTTAACCGAAATTCTCCTCCATCTGAGAATTGAGACTCTAGAATTGACAAGCAAAGGACACAACAGCAAATATCAGATTTGCATATTTTGGTAGGAATTGTACCCCCAACTCAGTTAGAGAAATTGGCTTGGGATATATCAGGGGACCCCTCCTCTGGGTGCTCAGAATCTGCGCTGGATTTGAGGCCCATAGAGAAGAACTCAGTGAGAAGACAGAAAATGTCTGATCAAGGTGTTGTTTTATGAAGAACTGCAGAGACAGATTCTATGGGAGAGTGGATTATAACAGGCCGTCCCTCAGGGCTTAACAGGTCCTGGGTTTGTTAACTGGAGCCACGGGCCATCGCAGCCTGTTCTGGAAAGCTTTCTAAGTGGAGAGGAGAGGCGAGGAGAGGAGAGAAGAGGAAGGGGCGGGGAGGGGGATGGATGGTGTATGAAACACACAGGCACATGCCCTACGAGTGAAATCAGTGCAACAGTGAGAGCTACTTTTTTCAAATTTTCATTGCTTCACAATCCTCTTTCTCTCTCCCTCTCTCTGTCTCTCTCTCTCACTACCCTTTAAACAAAAGCAAGGCAAGTTTTAAGGGGATAGAGAGCTTAGGGCAAGTATTGAGGATTATAAATTTTTTACTGATCTAAGTCATGTGAATATCTTTGGCTGAAAGGTTGAACTTTCTGTAACACTTTGTGTGAGAAAATAAAACTTTGCTTTAATTGAAAAAAGTGCTCCTTTTTTTTTTTTTTTTTTTTACATATTTTTGGTACTACATATTAATTATACAGAACAGCAGGTTTCACCGTGACATCTCCATGTGTGCACATGTTGTCCTTGGTCACACCCTCTCCACCAGTGGCCTCTCATCCCCCGCTCCCCCTAATCTCTCTTGTACTTTCACGTCATTCTGTTTTCTTACTTTCCAGATTCCATGTTTGACAGCAAACGTAGTATTTCTTTCTGAATCTGGCTTATTTCACTTAACATGGTGATCTCCAGTTCTTGCAAATTGCATGATTTTTTTTTTAATACTCCAGGGTGTATATTTACATTTTCTTTATCTGTTTGTCCATTGATGGGCACCCATGGTGATGCCATAACTTGGCTATTGAGCATAGTGCCCAGGTTAACCTTGGGTATGCAGGCATCTTGACAGTACAATGACTTTAATTTTTTCAAGTGTATGGTGCAGAGTAGTATAGCTAGGTCATATGATAATTCTATTTTTAGTTTTTTGAGGAGCTTTTGTACTGATTTCCACAGTGACACTAATTTACGTTTCCACCAATAGGAATATTCTATTACTTTGGTCTTCATAACTGTTCTTAAGACAATTCCACAAGTTCTGTAGTAAGTTTGAAACATACTGTAGTATGTTTTGAAATCAGGTATTACAGTGTCACAAGCATTGGTATTTTGGGTCAGGACTGCTTTTGTTAATCAAGTCTTTTGTGGTTCCATATGAATTTTAGGTGTGTGTTTTCTAGTTCTCTGAAGGATGTCATTGGTATTTGGATAGGGATCATTTGACTCTATAGGTTGTTTAAGTGGTATGTCTGTTTTAATAATTCAATTCTCCTAATATATAAATATGAGAGGTCTTTCCATTTTCTAGGTTTTTTTTTTCAGTTTCTTTCTTCAGTGCTTTATAATTTTCATCGTAGAGATCTTTTCCCACCTTAGTTAGGGTTTTTTGAGGCAATTGTGAATGAGGTTATTTTCCTGATTTCTTTCCTAGTGAATTCATTATTAGTGTGTAGAAAAACTACTGATTCTTGTATGTTGATTTTACATCCTGTGACTTTGCTGAACTTGTTTATCAGTTCTAAGTGGACTCCTTGAGGGTAGGTGTAGGATCACATCATGTGCAAACAGGGATAATCTGACCTCCTTCTTTCTTATTCATGTACCTTTTATATCTTTCACATGCCTGCTTGCTCTGAATAGTTCCAGTACTGCACTGAATAAGAGTAGTAAGAGTGAACATCATTATCTTATTCCTGATTTTAGGGGGAATTCTTCAGTTTTTTAGCATTAAGCATGATGTTGGCTATAGCTTTGTTGTAGACACGTTTGGTATGTCCTGGTTTGATTGGTCTCTGCCTACTTTACTCAAGGCTTTTATCATAAAGGGAGGTAGAATTTTATTAAAGGCTTTTTTCTGCATCTATTGTGACGATCGTGTGGCTCTTATCCTTGATTTTATTTACTGTTGCATTGTACTTACTGATTTGCATATGTTGAACCAGCCTTGTACCTCTAGAATGAAACCAACTTGGTCAAAATATATAATTTTTTGATGTGTTGTTGTATTCAATTTGCAACTATTTTATGAAGTATTTTTATACCTGTACTCCTCAAAGATATTGGTCTATAGTTTTCTTTTTACTTGGTTTGATCTGTCCTTATCAAGTCTTTGTAGCAGTTAACACTGGCTTCATAAAGTAAGTTTGGAGATGTTACTTCACTATTTACTGGACTAGTTTGAGAAGCCTTGGCATTAGTTCTGCTCTAAAAAGCTGATAACATGTAGCAGTGAATCCATCTGGTTCTGCACTTTGTGGGAAAATTTTATTACTGCTTCAGTCTCATTGCTTGTTATTTATCTGCTTAGGTTTTGTGTCTTCCTGGCTCAATTTTGATAGGTCCACTGTCTGGAAATCTATCTGTGCCTTCTAGGATTTCCAACTTATTAGCACAATTTTTTACCCCAGTGATCCTCTGGATTTTACCCTAATGATCCTCTGTTGTAATAGCCCCTTTTTATTGTCTAATTTTGTTTATTTTCACCCTCTTTTTCTTTAGTTTGGCTAAGGGTTTGTCAATATTGTTTATTAGAACTAAACCTTTGTTTCATTATATTGTTCCTTTATATTGTTCCTTTGGTCTCTATTTCATGTATTTTTGTTCTGATCTTAATTTTTTTCTTCCACTGATGTGGGGTTTGGTTTGTTTTTGTTCTTCTAAGGCCTTCAGATACATCATTAAGTTATTTATTTGAGATTTCTTTGGTTTTCTAATATGGGCACTTAATAGTTATAAATTTCCCTCATTTCTGCTTTTGCAGTGTTGTATAGGATTTGGGAGGTTGTTTCCACTTTCATTTGATTCTAGGAATTTTTAAATTATACTTCTGATGTCTGCAGTGATTTACTATTCACTCAAAAGTGTATTATTCAATCTCCATATGTTTGTATATTTTCTGCAATTTCTCTTACAATTAATTTCCTTCGTTAAGTTATGGTCTAAAAAGATACATGGAATTACTTCAGGGTTTTTTGTATATGTTCGGATTTCCTTTGTGATCTAAAATATGACCTGTTTTGGAGATAGTTCCATGAGCTGATGAAAAGAATATGTATTTTTTTTTTATTAACTTTACTGGTACATTTTAGAAATACATATTGATAACAGTCATCATATGGGATTTATACCTGTACATGACATATCTTGATTTTTTTTCCCATCCCTGCCCCTCCCTTCAAACCTTCATCCCCTCCTTATGTACATCTTTGTATCAATTTTTTCCTTCTATTCTCTTTCTTCTTCTCCCTTCTTTCCTTTCCCCTAAGCCTCCCTAGTTCCCCTTCACATTTGAACATGTTCTTCCTATTTCACGATGTCTATTCTGCATTTTGATCCTTACTTACACTTTCAGTTTCTCACATCAGAGAAACCATGTGATATTTGAGCATGTGGGTCCGATTTATTTAACCTTAAGAGCATGCTGTCAAGGTGCGTCTATTTAGCTAGAAATGTCTTAAGTTTACCTTTCTTTACAGCAGAATTGTACTCCATCGTATAAAAGAACCATATCTTCTTTATCCATTCATCAGTTGATGGGCTTTGGGCTATTTCTAAGATTTAGCTATGACAAACTGTGCTGCTATAAACATGGGTGTGACTATATCACTGTGGAATGATGCTTTTAATACTTCCGGAAAGAGAGCTAGAAGGGGAATAGCTGGGTTGAAGAGAGCCACAACTTTTAGTTTTTTGAGGAATCTCCACATCAATTTCCACAGGGGTTGCACCAGTCTAACTTACACCAACCATGGAGAAGAGTTCCTTTTTCCCCACAGTCCTATCAGAATGTGTTGTTGGTTGATTTCTTGGTGACAGCCATTCTTTCTGGAGTGAGATGGAAGCTCAGTGTTGTTTTAATTTGCATTTCACAAGTGACCACTGATGCTGATCACTTCTCCATGTATTTATTTGTCATTTGTATTTCTTTATCTTAGAAGTGAGTATTCATCTCAGATGCCCATTTCTGGATTGGTTCTTTGAATGTGGGGGGAGGGTTCTGACTTTTTTCAATTCTTTTTATATGTTCTAGATGCAACTCCT